TAATTGGCAAGTGTGGATAGGGGAGAGAGTTGGGCTTATTCTCAATGGGACGGACCAAGAGAGGGAGAGAGAGAGAAAGAGAGTGTCGTGGTGGGGAGGAGATGAGGCACAGCCGGGGAGTCTTCCAATAATAGTTGAGGAGACAAAGATAGGAGGATAGATGGTGGGAAGAAGCGAGGGAATGGAATGACAGTAGGTGAGGAGGAGGGGGATGGAGGTGAGGGCTGAACATCTGTCTGGTAATCACTCTCTCCCATCAGAGCAGTGTAACACACACTGACACCTATTTGATAATTGGTGAGCCTGCCCTCTCCTCATTGCTTGGCTAAATGGTTGCTTGATACCAGGGAGAGCAAAGAGACTTGCTGTTGGCAGTGTAATCTGTTTACTTGTGCAGCTCAAGTAAAGACACATAGCAGGCTGCCTGTGTACAGTAGAAAGAGGGTGTGCGGCTACTGTACTAAGGTCACAGTCGGGGGTTACTAGTCGGACAGGGTGCTCAAGGTGTGACTACGTTGTCATCCATGGATAAAATATCATCTCTTTTATCTGTTTTATCCTAGGTGCCACTCTGTAAAGATTCGCCTTCACACAGACCCCCCTGTCCTTCTATGCTGCAATCTTATTCAGAGTGCAGGAGCTGAAGGGATGCACACAAGAAGAAGAAGAAGAAGAAGAAGAAAAAAAGGAGAGTGAGCTCTGGAGCCAAGAGGAGAGAGGAAGGACTGGAGGGGGGGAGGAGGAGAAGGAGGAGGTGGGCATCTTTGCTCCGGTCTCGACCACGGGTATTCTTGGGTTGATAATACAGATGTGGATGTTATTGCTTGAGAATACGCGTAGTCGAGAGGAAGCTTTATCGTCAACACTGGACCAAAAGCAGAGAGCGATTCAGTACGCTACAGTGGCAGAGACATGGAAATGTACAGCCAAACTGAGAACAGGCATTTGGTGGTTTTTAATTAAGCACCCAGAGGTGACTTTTTTTTTAATGGGAAAGGCTTGTTTTGTTCAATCAGAAAGGTTAAAAAAAATATAAAAATAAAAAATAAAAAAGTGAATGCAATCAGACCTAGCCAGGTGCCCAAATCAAATCCAGCCACTGAAAATGTTTTCATCATCATAGATTTATCAACCATGTCACTCTTTGCACCTGTGGAAGAAATGAGTTTGCAGCCTGATTCAGTCCCTCCTGAAGAGGCGCTGCTGTGGAAATCTTGCACCGTGCCACTAAGCTAAACCCTCAGGCATTAGTTCAGGGAGCTTAACACAAAAGTCTGTAGACTCAGACGTTAATTTCAAACCTCCTTGATTACATATCCTTGTCATTCAGTCGTACACACAAGTGATCCCATAATCAGTTGATTGGTGTCTTTCACAGCCCTTCACACTCAGCACTGAACATTTTCCTTAAGCTGAAAAGAAATTTTAAGTTTGCAAAATTGGTGCGAGAGTGCGGCAGTTCTTGGTCCTTGGACTTAAATGACTGCGATGCTATGGGATGGTATGTTATAGCTGCACATAGTCTCTCATTTCTATTTTGGACTACCCGGCTAAAAATGTGTGAGAGTTTGATGCCTGTAGCAGCAACAGGAGACAGTAACACATGGGGACACGTCAAGGCTTGCTCTCGTAGCTGACATTTCAACTTTTGACTCAGCTGACTGGCTGTCATGATAGAGATTCGGATCCCTACACACACACAACTGCACGAGGGTGCGCATAATCTACATGCCTGTAGGGAAACGGGATTGATGAATCTTATGAAAAGAGGCATAAAGATAGATCACGTACATGTGAATGTGCACACATTGCAGCGAGTAGGTTCACTCGGTCCACAAGCCAGTGGGGAAATAAGGAATTGACTGATTTTATGGGTAGCTATTTTTAGTCACAATGATGGATGTTTATGTCTTTTATTGATCAAGTTGAGGTGTGGGTTTGAAGAATTCTTGGACGTTTGGGCATGCTGATTAATCAGGTAGAAAAGGTGTTGGACTAAAACATCCTGAATTACATTTTTGGTACATTAGCATTATTGTGAAGTATTATAAATTAGAAAATCAACATTTCATTGCAAATTCAGCAATACATTAGCATCTGGTTGTGCACATGATAAATTACACTCTTATCATTTACAATTCCATGATTTCTTACTCCTGTGTAAGCAAATCTGTTGCAGTGTGCGATTATAATTCATACAAATTTCACTCCGACGTTGCGTAAACTTGTTGATTGGATAGAGCCATTCCCGTGGTTTTGTGTGCATGTGTGCGTGTGTGTGTGCTTCCAAGCAACAAAATGACTATTGTGAGCACAGCTCCAGGTGCCTAGCAACCAAATCTCTCTGTTTCCTTGGCAACAGTTGCCTTGCACTCACTGTGTGGGTGATTGGCAGCCTTGACAACAGAGACGGAGTGACACTTGACCTCGCGTGCTGAATGGGAGAGGAGAAAGAAGAAGCGAGAAATAGAAGAGAGGAGGAGGCAGTGGGAGGGGACGTGCAGAGACAGAGGAGAGACTAAGTGATAATCACTCTCTATTGTAATCATCCTCCAGCATGTTTCATAAGGCGTCGTCAATACCTCTCCAGCTGGGGTCCATCATCAAACACAATGCACAGTGCAGTGCACGCATGCACGGACACACTCTTCCTGGGTGGAGAGCCCAGGCAGGCACTCCACATCTCATCTATTATCACTCAGCTCTGCCTGGTGCACAACCTTGCTACACTGTGTCTTGTGCTCTGTTGGGGATGAATGGATACTGGACTCCTGAAAATGTGTCATAGTCACAGATGCCACAGGAGAGTAGATCAGAGCTGCTCACAGAGACATTCTAATTTAAAATAGGCGCTGCCAGTGTCTTTGGCACATTCAAATGTAATTGCTGTAATTATTAAAGCAGGAGTAAACTAGTGCTTTTTGAGGTTCTCCTTTCACCTATTCCCTAGCTGGGGGCGTTCCATTGTACGGGGTTTTATTTGAATTTTAAAAAAGCATGTTTTTCATGGCTGACAGTACTGTGTGTGTGGTGATGAATCAAAACTGGAACAGTACAAACTCTAATAGATCCCACATTTGGAAGCAGAGTCTCGTCTTTCATCTCATTCAAATTTTATGGTTCAATCTACATTATACTCAACAGTACAAAGCTGTAGTAACAGCTCAAAAGAATAGCAGCTTGAGTTTACGGTCCCACTGGTGAGACTTGTAAAATTACTTGTGAATATGCATTTTTTTACTATCCTGTGTGTTAAATCTCAATTTCTTCAACAGGTCGTCTAAAGGCCAACTGTAATGTCTTTACTCTGAGGATGAACTTCAGTTCATCACCAGCTGGTGGTGTTCATTACTACATGGGATGTGTATGTCACATTAGAGCTTTCTGTTACTTTTAATTTACCCATTCCGGCCACCGCTTGTTCAAGGAAATCAAACTCTGTGACAAAAAAGACACTGATTCCTAAACAAACCAAGAACTCAGCAGCACATCTGTGCTGCAAGACTCGACGTGACATTTGGTACTGAAAAATGTATAGGTCCATATTGTATACAGTGTAATATTATCGGTATCTATTCACACAAAAACAAATATATACTGTATTTTGGTGTTATTTCAAACTGAACAGATGCATCAACATATATTGTGTTTTTAGCACAATAAACAATATGGAAAAATTCTACTTATTTGTCAACAAATCATATATATATATATATNTATATATATAAACTCATACAAGTGCTTCTTGCCATTACCATACCGTTAGCTTGGCTCTGTCCCATTAAGGACAACAGCAGCAAGAAACAAACAACTATGCATGGCCAAACTTACAACTAAATTTTAAATCACCAATGAACCTACCATGCATGTCTTCGGGAAAAAGCCAGAGAACCAGGAGAACACGCTCAACTCCTCACAGAATCCAGAAGCTTGTGGCTGTAAGACAACAGTGGTAACCATGGCACTACCATGCCACCTAACATCTTCCATTTGTACCATGAATATCCATTGTTATGAAACTATCAAAATTACATCTATCAGCAATTGTTACACTGGGTGACTTGTTTTTTCCTCAAGAACTGGACAGTATTTTTTATATACATCATTCTGCTCCCAGAACACACCAAATGTTTCCGAATCTATGGCGGAAAACCATCTAGTATTTATCAGTTTTGGCAGTATGTACTAAAACTATAATGACTTGTGTTTTTGGAATTAACTGAGCATTAAAAAAAACACACACACAAAAAAACTAAATATCTTTGACCAGTTTTGCAGGATTTACATCTTTAATAGAAACTAATTGTAAAAAGCTGAGTGTAGTTATGTACCAACTTCATGCTGGTTTGGGTTTGTTCATCACATTTGTCAACAATGAAAAAAATACTGAATCATGCCCTAGCTATCTTTTAATCTCTACCAGTGTCAAAAAAAACCCCCACTGAGTTCAGTATACAAAAAACCAAAAAAAGCAAAATTTCCTGACATTGTCAAATGTATGGGCTGCAAGGTGGTGCACTTGGTTAGCACTGTTGCCTCGCAGCAAGAAGGTCGCCAGTTTGCGTCCCAGTGAGGACACCTGGGATCTTTATGCGTGGAGTCTCCATGTTCTCCCCGTGCAGCATGGGTTCTCTCCGGGTTCTCCGGCTTCCTCCCAGAGTCCAAAAACATGTTGAGGTTAATTGGTGATTCTAAATTGTCTGTAGGTGTGAATGTGAGTGTGCTTGGTTGTCTGACTCTAAGTGTAGCTCTGCGATAGACTGGCGACCTGTCCAGGATGTCCCCTGTCTTCGCCCTAAGTCGGCTGGGATAGGCTCCAGCCCCCCCGTGACCCTAGTGAGGATTAAGCGGTGTACAGATAATGGATGGATGTCAAATGTATCCTCTAGTTTTCGATCACACTTAAAATTCATTTCAGTAAGAAAAAAACGCTTTATTTTATGCTACCCAACACTGATTGCTGTACGGGAAAATAATCACTCAGTGCTTAACAAAGATCATTTATGTTTCTTGTATTTTTTTATTTCATGAACATGTCAGCTAACAGCATATCATCAACTGAGAAACTGAATGCATCAATACAAATTCAAAACCAATGAACTTAGCAGCTAAACATAAATCTTAGCATTTTTGATTCTCTCTACAGTGGAATGACCTAATGCTGTGACACAACTCTCATTGTGAGAATGAATAGAGGTGTTCGTAATTTTTATCGTGAAAAGAACCCGTAACAGAAAGCCTGACTCAGAGTAATCAATATAGATTTTTTTTAAACTCAAAAAGAAAAGGCTTGAATCAACTCTTGCATTCACATGAGACGCTGAAAACAAACTGCTAAGTGTGGCATCATCAAGCATTACTGTTGGCCTTAACAGCATTAGCATGCAATCCAAGAAATTCCCTCCTACCTAGACTTTGCAAGGTCTAACAGTGCAGCCTACCAGAAAACGTTGTCCTCTCCAACTAGATCTTGCTGCCAGTGTCAGAGCATGATTGAGAATAAGTGTACGCAAAATTTAACATTTTCAACTTTTAAACACACCTACTCACTGTTCTGTTTTTAAGACTCTTTCAGGCTAGATCCACATATTCATATGTGTCTTTCTCATCATGATAACTAAACAGATACATTATTGATTTCACACTGAAAATGTCAAGATGGGAGTCCATTCTCTTATGCTACAAGTCTCTTGTACAAGCTTAAGTTGGCTCAGCTAACTATACCAAGCGGTCAAAAATCTAACTAAATGTCTGGAAACGCTGCTGAAAGTGTGAAAATAAATCAGGGTATACCGCATAGAACAAATTATGTAATAAATCTCAAGAGTCAAAACTAGAGTTGTGGGCTGAAACCTAAGGTTTCAGAAAGGGGGGAACTGAGAAGACAGCAGAAACATTTCACAGCATGTTTGTACCGAAGACCTCATGAGCGAGACTCCTGTTCACAGAGCGGTAAATCTCAAGTGACCATAAATTCTGTGAATAATCAAAGTTTCAAAAATGTCCTCTGACCGGCTTGATCCCAGTGGGCTCAGACCCACCAACCACATGCTCATCCTCTCCCCCTTCCTGAGAGGCATCCAGCTCTGTGAGGGCTACTGATTGGCTGCTTCACAGGCGTCTATCCAGTCACTGTACACATCAACTGGCTCTGACAGATCTGAAGAACGATTAAGGATAAAACAGACTCTGTTGCTTATGAGTAAGAGTTTCAATATCAATATATACAGTCAAGGAAAGTGACAGTGACTTCTCAGAAAGGTTTTCTGTTTGGTATTAAACTGAGAGTGAGCAGTAATCCCAACTGTAAATTCATAAAGTGAATTCACTAGTACATTCTGAATTATTTTTTTCCAATTCAGAGTCCTTCTCTACAACATATTTTTCCTTATTTTATTAAAATTAAACCAAAAGAAAGGGATACCAAAGCATGAAATGAGCTGCAGTTCAATATAGACAAAATAGTTTGGAGGCATAGATGACCAGGGGAAAAATATTAAGTGAAATTAAGTTGAATGAATATAACACACATCGTGAAATTAAACAGACATATTTTTTCTGATGCCATAGTGCTAACGTTTCACTGAAAACCTAGCTTGAATCCTGTCTTATAAGTTGCTCCCACTATTATTGTTAATGACTGATAAAAATTGTGGTGTTGGGAATTATGAACCCTTTTTTGGCTTGTGAAGAGGTGAAGAGGCATGTCAGAAAAAGCAGGAGACCGACTGCCTGAACTCAAAGTCCACTGACAACAGATACAATCTTGTATCCACAAAAAGAAACTGGAGTTTGCTTAGTTGTGATCAGTGAATTGCTGACATGACCTACATTAGGTATGGAATTTTGGTCACATGAGAGGGACTGATTTGGTGTTGGACAACCTTGATCTCTCTTAAGCCAATGTATTGCAGGGTGTCCCGAAACCAAACACAAAAGGAACTTGCATGAAAGACTAAACTAACTCTAAACCAACCACCTGCAGACACACGACTGAAAATTCATGGCACTTCATAACATCTGAGCAGGCATCGTGACAACTTAGCCGATTCAAGGTGCTGATGATGGCTTTGGAATGTCATCAAAAGTGTCCAAAAAATCTGAAGTTGATATTATTTTGTCAAACAACTGTTCCTCAGATTAAGAATTAACATTAATCAGTGTTTCCTCTACGTTCATTTAGCAGTGGCAGCCACCTCTCAGAGAATTTCTCTACAACACAGCCTTAGAGCTCGTTTGTAAAAGAAAAAAAAAACTTTCATTTATTTATTATTTTTACATTCAGCCTTTAAAAACCCATTTTTAACTGGCCATTCAATAAATAAGTTGCAAAAGTAAAATCTGCAGTCAAATGACATTTGTTTACATCACCACGGCTCCCCAGAGAGCCTGCCCCCACTGCTGGAAAAAATCCTAGAGGAAACACTGATTAAGGCTCAAAGCTAATAAAATAATTCTTAAGTACGATAACACATTCAAATGCACCTTTACTGTTCGGCCTCGTTAGTATTTTATAGCTGTACAAGAAAGAGAGATGTCATCTGAAATTTATGCGTGACAAAGGATACAGGTAATGGGGGTCTGGAACTCCTCCAAGCAGACTGTACATGATATTATTCCAGTATTTCTGCTTCTTTCCCTGTTGAAAGACGAAGCAAAAGATAAGTTAGAAACCTGAGAAATCAAAAGATGACATATTAAACTGTTCTACTCAGAAGGGTAGTAATGTGTGTATTACATTTTGACATCACATGACTTCTCGTGGTTGCAGAAGGGACAGGTGAACTGACTTTCCAAATCCCCCGTCATCTTCTTCTTAGGTGGAGGCTTTCTTTTGGACTTGCGGCGACCCATGGCACACAAATTGAGACAAAGTCTGAGTGAAAGGCAAAAAGCAAACTGCTTCAACAAAGACAACACGCGGTTTGGGCGAATACCACCAAACATGTTGGCCAGAAAACAACTCTAGCTGGCTGGTACTGTTCATATTGTTAGTAAGTTAGCAGGCTAGCGTTAGCATGTTTGTTGTTGATCAAAGCATAATTTACTCCACGATAACAGAAAAATACGACTCAAGCGGGCTCTGCTGAGAAAACAGTTCGATTATATCGACTTGCCGCAATTATCAAACAGACAGTGACTGCTGAACGTGATCTAATAAAAGTTTAATCTTGTTTACCTTTCCTTGCTGAAAATACACGTTGGCTAAAATGAAGTGAATTGGCTTCCGGAAGACCCGGCACCCACAACTGTTCGCGTCAAATGATTGGAGGAGAGCGGACGCTTCTCGGCCAGCTATTGGCTGTCTGACACGTCAGTTACGTTGATAGGCAGTGACGAAACGGAGTCCGACACAGCCTCCTCCCGCGTGGTGGCGACAGAAGCTAAGTCAGGGTTTGTGTTGTTTCCTTAATTTAGTTTTTTTTGTCACTTGTTCCCCAATCCTGGAAATGTCAAGCTGTTAGCGTCAACACTTCTCTGCAGGTTGGCTTCGTTTTAATAGTGACTGTGTCGCTCTTTCCTCAGTGTTTGGTGTTGGTGTTGTATGATAATGTTTACACTTTGACAACACTTTGTAATCTGTTGAGCCAGAAAACAACCAAACAATGTTGGTTTAACTACAATTTAAATTCAGCCAGCTTGAATTAGCTTGGTTAACCGACTTGGTGAATCTATCTTCTCAGCACTAGTCTGTTAAACTCATAAAATTCAAGTGAAAATCTAAATTTCAACTTTCCCAATCTGTATGTTTGTGATGTTCCCCAGCTAATGTGAAAAGAACTCAGTTTTGCTGTGTTGCATGAGTTCTTAATACACAGTTTAGAAAAAAAAGAGTTTTAATGCAGTTGAACAGGTTCTGTATTTAATATAGGGCTTTAGAAAGAATTATTACACCACCTGCTGATATCTTTACAAAGTCTACACAACAGACCTTTAACGTTGGATCACAAAAGTTGAATTACACCATCTTCTAAAACACCCGGAAAATGTCTGATGATAATTCAAGACACATGATAAATTATGTTTAAAATAAAGATTTTCTTTGAAACTTCAAAAATTTAAGAATTCACACATTTTTTTGGTAACAATTGTTTTGTGCATAGACTTTGTATGTAAAGTCAACAAATAATATAATGTTAAGTGTCACGCCACAATGCTTTAAAGAAAAATTGTTTTATTCAGAGAAAACAGATGTCTTACGCTTAATGATGAGGAATGCAGCAAGAGAGCTGTTGCTAACTGTCTTGGAATCAGCAAAACAGCTGTACATTACAACCTTAAGGGGAAAAAAATCAGTATGGCTCCACCAAGAACTGCAGAGGAAGAGGCAGAACACAGTGGTCTAATCATTTTTTTTTCCAAAGCCGTACTTGGTAGAGCTCCAAGCAATAATATTTTTAGCACGGAATGATCTGCTGATGTTTTGTTTTGCCTGTAAAATGTCTGAATATTGTGACAAAGTCCCATTATCATTTCTCAAAGTGGCATTTTCAAACAGACAACAACAAAAAGATATTGCATTTGCAAGAATCTGAATCCTTAAAATTGAGAAGCTAGGCTAATCCTGTTTGTTGTTGCTGTTGTTGTATAGAATATATGTTACATTGATTAAAAAAAAAAAGTGAGCTTTTACAAGATTGAATTTCCCTTCTGGGATAAATAAAGTATTTTTCATTAATCCGTCATTCAGCTTTTTTCAGCACCACACAACACTTATGCAAAACAAATAGTATAATTCTAATTTCGCATGAGATCTGTATGGAAATGTACATAATAACTTAAGACAAAACTTGTTTTACGATCATTTATAAAGACAAGTAAGTTTTCTTCAAACCATATGTTGGGTTTATACATTTTATTTTGCTAGATGTCAGTGATGTGGACAGTGAAGGTGGTCAGCCTGGGCGTGGTGGCCCTCTCTTTCAGTCTGGAGCTGCTTGGCCGGCTCTTCTGTCGCCTCAGGTCTGGAAGAACCCTCCATGAAGTCCTCTTCTTCCCGTCAGAGGTGGCTTGTGTAGAGCACATCTTCACTCCCACTTCAGCTCAGTAGGTGAAACATAATTGTTATACTGAGTAATAGTAAGCTATTCGTCATTTTCTCTACGTCACATTCAAAAGTGTTGGGATCATGGCCAATGACTCAAAAGTTCACAGCCTCAGGTGAGTTCAGTAAGTCAATCCAGTCAGTGCGTTAAACGCTCCACATTCCACAGCGTTCAGCTCAAAGGTATTAACCTTTTATCTACTAGAGTAGTTTCTGTCTATGAAATTAGACCTAAAAAGCATAGTCCGACTGGAACTGGATTTTTGATTTATCACCCATGTTCCTGAATGTATATACATATATGTTAGCTGTGAATTGAGAAGGAAATATTTTAGGAGGGGGTTATTGTATTTTAATGTTACCAGCAGGTATATTTCACAAAGTAGTTGACATATTACCATGAAGACTTGACCACCTACCACCATCTGCTCAGATGTGATGTGTACTCTGCTACATGTGCTGCAGACAGAGCTGAGAGAATTGTAAACAGTGGAGCTGGAGGTGCACTGCTGGAAAAACTAACACAATTTATAAATTACACAAATCATCTTTTTCTGCATTATTTTCTGTAAAACAAAGTTTTTATAAAGAAGCATATTGGGCAACATAAATGTCAATACAGATATATTTGTGATAAATATATTTGCCAAACAATGTATTAGTCGGCTATACTAGAAAATTAAACTTTAGTTAAGTGACCTCTAGATTAACTACAATTTTCTTCTCTTTTCTTTTCTTCCAGTCCCTGTTTTTGCTCTTTGCCTCACGGTGTAGAGACCTCTTTCACCCGTCTTCTCCGCCGCATCCTGTCTGCTTCCTCCTCTCTGGACTTGTGTATTTTTGCATTTTCCAACATGGACCTGAGCAGGGCTGTACTGACGCTGCATAGCAGGGGGGTAACCATTCGAGTCCTTACCGACAAGGATTACGCTGCCATCACTGGCTCCCAGATAGGGGTCCTCCGCAAGGCTGGTAAGGGGGACACATCCGTTTAATCATTATAAAGCACGTGTCTTCATGATGTGTGGCTCGAAAAGTCATTTTGACAAAGTGTCCTTATACCAAGAAATTTCATGAATACAGACCAGGGAGCCATATGTCGCCCTTGTGGAGATATTATTGGTTTTAAAAAAGGGTCACACCAACCTCTGTCATTTTATAGACACATTTTACTTGAGATACGGGAAGGATGACTCTGGTCTTGCTCAAGAAAAGGTGGTCACCCTATGTTCTTAGACTTCAAGTGTCATTGTCGGTAAGTCACCCAGGGTTCTTTTGTGGTGAATAGAGAGATGAGAGGAGGTGCCTGGCTGAATGGTGGTTGCTACTACAAGCCCTCCTATGAGTCATAGTAATCATGCCCTGAAAGATTTTGTGTCACGTGTCTGACTCATGCTGTCTCACTTTCTCACTCAGCCATCTCCGCATTTAATGTATTACTGCCACCGTATATTGTTAAGTAAGAATTAAGTAAGTACGAAATTGGCAACCAGACTGCAAACGTTATTAGGCAAAGTGTTTCAGAGTGTGTGCGTTTGTGCGTGTTGACTGCAAACCTCATGAAAACCATTCCACACCACAATTGACTCTCCTTTTCATGCTCTAGCTGGGCTATTTTGTCATGATTGCGCAGAAACCTTTTTTTTTCGTAAATTGCTAAATGTAAGTGGCACTAACACACTAAGTTTGCAGTCAATGGCTGAAGTAATCCTGAGTACGTTTGTGAAACATGTCCCTCGGTGGGAAAGATATTCTCTGATGTGCCCAGAGTCTTAAAATGGGACATCTTATGAACTGTATGTGTTCTCGGGTCAAATTGGAAAGACATCCACCTTTTATTGCCAGTTGCATTTACTCTTTCACATCATTCCTGTTTCTCTTCACTTTACTAAAAAGCCATTTACACGTAGCGATCAGGGAGGCCTCGGGGACATGTTCCCTGGACGAAAATTGCTCCGAAAATTGATTCTTAAAAACACATTTCCGGTAATTGTTTTTCCCTTTTTTTTTTCTTTCAAAAGAGGCATTGTACTTACCCTTTCAAGAGAAAGCTTGCATGTCTTATCTCTCTCTGAGAGTAATCTGCAATCCGATCTAAAAAATTGCTCATCTCCAGAGTGATGCAAGCTGGAATTAAATAGCCTACCAACCAAAGTAATGCTCTTGCCCTAAAGCCCCATTTCAGTCTTGCACTCCTTTCTATTAATCTGATGGCATCCGAACATGTTGGTTTCATGTCTGAATGAGCATGCTGGCAACGGATATCTTATTACAGTAGATTTAACCTGGTAGCTTTTATGCATCACTTTAAATGCGGCACTAATCTGAGCTGCATCCTTTAATGGAGAGTCACACACATTCAGTGAGCAACGTGGTCCTAAAGGAACGAGAAGAACGTTGCTTAGGTAAGTTCTGTTGTCTTTGTTGGTAGTGCTGTTTGCCACTGTTAAAATAAATGTCACAGTGTGGTTGTTGAGTGCAGTAAATGGCTTCCTAATGTTGTTTCTTATTGTACACAATTAACTGGACACTTTTTCAAGCTTGCTGTTTATTTAGCTTCAATCTTTCGTGGCTCCCAAAACCTGGATATGATGTCTAATCTTGTGCATGTGGCAAATTTTGTGTGCTTTCTTTGGCTTTCTCCATCACTGTTGTGGGTGTATCTGAATGAAGCTGTTGAATGACAGAGTGCTGTCATTTTAGCAGATTGCTGAAGCAGCCAGTAATGTTATATCCCATGTCTGGAAAATGCCTAAGATAGTTTTAATTCAATATAAATACAGAAAGTTTCTGCGCAAAAGATTTAAAAATACAGCACATGTGCCTTATTCTATATTAGAACAAATATCATTATTTATCCATCCATCCATTATCTATACACCGCTTAATTCTCTTTCGGGTCGCCGGGGGGGCTGGAGCCTATCCCAGCTGACATAGGGCGAAGGCAGGGGACACCCTGGACAGGTCGCCAGTCTATCACAGGGCTTCACCTAGAGACAGACAACATTCACACCTACGGACAATTTAGAATCACCAATTAACCTCAATATATTTTTGGACCTTGTGGGAGGAAGCCGGAGGACCCAGAGAGAACCTATGCTGCACAGGGAGAACATGCAAACTCCACGCAGAAAGATCCCGGTGTACCGAGGCAACAGTGCTACCAACTGCGCCACCCTGCAGCCCTATCATTATTTATGATTTATATGTTTTGTTCCCGGGCTGCAAGGTGCCGCAGTTCGCAGCAAGAAGGTTGCCGGTTCGCATCCCGGTGGGGGGACCGCGATGTTTCTGCGTGGAGTTTGCATGTTCTCCCCGTGCAGTGTGGGTTCTCTCCGGGTTCCTCCCGGCTTCCTGTTAGTTGGTGATTCTAAATTGTCCGTAGGTGTGAATGTGAGTGAGCTTGGTTGTCTGTCTCTAAGTATAGCCCTGTGATAGACTGGCGACCTGTCCAGGGTGTCCCCTGCCTTCGCCCTAAGTCAGCTGGGATAGGCTCCAGCCCCCCCGTGACCCTCGTGAGGATTAAGTGGTGTATAGATAATGGATGGATGGATGTTTTGTTCCAGTAAAATAACTACACAAGTTTAAGTGCTAAACGATATGAGTGATTGCACCTCAGTTGAGCTTTTAATGGATTTCTTCAACAGACTTTACCCTTTACAACTCTTCTGGGTTATCAGTTAAGTCCATTTAGAAACTGTCACACATTATTAGCCTTTCTGTCACATCAGAGCACCTAAAATATTAATTTATGGCTGTTAACTTTTCTTCAACACCAACATTTTGCTCTATTCACACAAAGCACTTTGCTGTTTGCAGAAGCTCATTGATATTGGTGCACAGCCCAGAAGTTCAGAGTAGGCTGTGGAAGGGATCAATACATTTACCTTACACTGTTAGACACTGAAGAATTTCCCTCGTCCTTCCTGTCCACCTTCTGCTCCCAGGGATCTGTGTGCGCTGTGACATGGGCTCCGTGTACATGCATCACAAGTTTGCAGTGGTGGACGGCCGGCTGCTCGTCACTGGCTCCCTCAACTGGACGCTGACAGCAGTGCAGAGCAACATGGAGAACATCCTCGTCACAGAGGAGCCAGAGCTGGTGCAACCCTTCATCAAGGAGTTCCACAGGTTATGGGTACGCAATGATCCAGCCACATACCTGTGCTCAAGTGACCAAAAACCTAACCAGATCAAACACTGAATCGGAGTTCATGAAACTTTGAGGTAGAAGACACGTGTAATATCCGTTCAGTCAGCTTGACCACAAAATACCTCCAGGATTGATGCTTTCTTGATGTCATGAGGCTATGTCAACTTTCTGGTGGTCAAGACTTGTGTTATAGTAACAGTGTAGAACACAACACATTTTCTATGTTTCTGACAACCATGAGACACTTGTGATTGTTCGGTCAAGTCTAAAGCCAACAGTTCTTGTTTTTTTTTACTCGTTTCAGTAGTTATTGCTTTGTTTTTCTCCAAAATGCCTGTGAAGTGCTGTCTGTTAGATTAGCCTGAGGTAGTAGTGCTGCGTTTCACAGCCCTAATGCATAAACATGCTGTATAAGTTATGCAACATAGGTTTGGTTTCCCTGTGTTTCAGAGTATAAAACACTTTTTTACGTTCCTGTTTGAGTTTTATTTTTTGTCACAGGTTGACAAAAGTAGTTGCAGTTACTCTTCTAAAGGATCTCCAGTTCGGTGATCAAAGTGATAGTTTTTCTTTATAGTCATTGCATATTCTTCCTCATAACTTCAGGGAAATATATGTAATGTACTTGAAGATTGCGATTAATTCCTTTATTAAAACCACCTTGTGTACAGTGTAGCCAGGGGTTCCCCTGGCTGTTAAAATCCAGTGTATTGTTTATTGTGTGCAGTCTCTGTGGCTATATTTTGCCAAGTGCCAATAAAAACCCTCTTTCACTGTGCAGTTTTAGCAGGTCTCTTGCATCATTGCCCCCGCAGGTGTACTTTTTCCTCTTACTCTAACATGATTTATTTTGTTTTCGTTGCTCAGAAAGGCCTCACAGCACTGCCATTATTTGAAGTTTCCCAATAAGGAGCTCTGATCTGGTTAGGATATGATTAATCCGTCTGGTTGCATGACTCCTTCAGTTGCTCCCAGACAGGCTGATGCTTGCAAATACAGGCCTGAACTTGTTTCTCTCAAGACTTGTATTATTCCAGAAGTTAACATATTTTGAAGCTCAGCGTAGTAAATGGTAATGTTAGACTTTATGAATCAGCTGCAGTATTTTATCCACGGTACAAGTTATCGATGTCAACTGACAGGTCATGGGTTTTGGATGCGTAACTGCTGCGTAATTCCTGCGCCTTTCAACACATCTCCGAGGGTCGGCAGAAGTTTACTATTGAAAGTGCGTCAAGTACACAAGTGACACAACAGAATAACAGGAATTTGACAATTTACTTTTCAAAATAGACGTCTGTCGCTTACCGATTCTGAAGCATTAATTCAATCAAAGACAATGAATCAGAAATAATTTGGATGATTGCTAATTTATGTAGTTTAACAGGCATCAATTCCAAACCTGAAGCTTCTACATTGTGAACATGTTTTACTCCTCTCTGTGTTTTATCATTGTGGGTTGAAAATATCTTGGATTTTGGATCATTGGTCAGACAGACAAAGCAATTTGAAGATGCCATCCATTACTACCTGTGGCAAGTGTAATAGATGTTTTTCATTATTTCCCATCAAATGATAGTTTAAACAATTCATTGTTCATAAATGGACAATGACATTGTGAGAGCAATTCGTGATGAAAACCAATAGTTACAGGCTCACAACGTAAATCATTTTAAGTTCATTCAGCTTGGAAATCTAATTTCCCCTGCTGCCTCAAAAATGTGAGTTAAATGTGCTTAGGTTGATAAATTAATTCAGCATCACCTAACAGGTTCTCAAAGTGTAAAATTCGCTCAGTTAAATCAGCAAAAATTCAGAAAATAAGTCAAAAACTTGATATATTAAGACAATCACCTAGTCACATTCAGTGATTACAGACTTGATTTCAGTTTAAATAGTTTCTTCTTTGATTAATATTAATGTATTAATATAATTAATCTCAGCTGTTGAAGTCATTTTTGACCAGAGTCAGCACAAATCCAGTCTTTAAGGCTCCTTCTGGTTACTGTGAGATAAATTCTAGGTCTATTACTGACCTGTGACATGGAATTGTTTTGATTATTATAAAAAGAAACAGCTATAACTTAATTTCAACAACGACAAACAGCAAGTTTCCACAATGAACGTTTTCTCAAACCACAGAAAAGAAGAGCCTCTGGGGAGTTTTACTTCTGTACCAATACATGTTGGGAGGTCTGCTTGATTGGTAATTTTATTTCTTATAAAGTTAATTTAATCAGTTAAGTGAACTCTCAACTGCTCATTCATTCAACTTTTCATTATAAGTCAAGGAATAGGAACTTCTTTTTTTATCTTCTGAAATAATTTTGAAAAAATCAGTGTTTAGTTGAACCTGAAAAAGATGAACCACGCTTAAATTAACGACAAATTTGCGCCAAAGGTGCTAAAACAAATTACTCCAACGGCCATATATCAGTCAAAAATGGTGTTTATGTTCAGACTTGTGATTTTTTTTATTTTATTTTATATTGAAAGCTCTTTCCGGATGCAGCTTTCATATGTGGTAGGATGCTTGACGGCTGACACGGTATACGTCCCATTGACAGACGGGCACATGCACAGACTGGAGATCCGGGAGCGGAGCACCTGAACAGGAGCGGCCGACAGCAGCACACACCCATTGGCCTTTAGGTGGAGGTGGCACACCGTTGGAAGGACGCAGGAGAAAGACTCGTAAATAACATCCGCGGTGAGCAGGATTCACCAGTTTTCAGGGGCGGCTGGGGGGTTGTTACTGTGGTGTTATCTGATTGTGTGTGTGAGAGTTACCGTATGGCAGGGCGGTGTAGGGAAACTAGGTTAACTGCCAATGGGGAGCAAGCTTCAACCTCAGAAAATTAACTTTATCTTTGTTTTTTTGTTTTTTTACGGAGCATCAGGCTGATTGGTGCGCAGATGATTGAATTAAGTGTCAACAAGTGGATTAAAAGTGTTCCCATACAAACAGCTGCTTTGTGCCAGCATCCGCTCATTAGTCCAATATTGCATTATGATGCCTTTGTTTGAATGCAAATGAGCAGTTCCTTCAAAGTAAATGGATGGACGTCCACACACCACTTTCTAGGTTTCATGTGTAGGTGCATGTGTGGATATTGCTGTTTTGCTGAGTGTGTACAGCAGCCCAGTCCCTCTTTTTATGATCTTGGAAAGGGGTATAATGCTGAGCTGGTCTCCACAGACACATCAGCAGCCAGCCAGGGAGGAGCAGGAGGGGAGGGGAGGGGAGGGGGGGGTGAATGGATGGTTCAGCCTCCTTATGATGCAGAGGGATGGAGTGGGAGGAGGTGAGATATGGATGGAGGACGACAGGAGGGATGCATAGATGGATGAATATGAGAGTGTAAAGGAAGATAAATGGGAGCCGGAGTGTGTTTGTGTGTGCATTTAAGTGGAGGTGTCAGCGGGTGGATGAACGAGCAGCCGGGTGATGGATGGGATACACAAGGAAGGGAGGAGGAGGATCTATTGCTATCCCCCCCCAACCAGCCCACCACTCAGTGTCTACTGATCCTATAAGTTTTTAACGTGAGCTCATGTGACAAATGGACAGGGGGGGCAAGCCGGTGACTGATTGAGGAGATGGGTGGGAACAGTGGAAAGAGCACCCCCTGCCTGTGATTCATAGCACAGTGATGAGCGCTGAGAGGGATGAGGGGAGGAAGATGGAGCATTTTTAAAATAACACTTCCATTTACCAACATCTGCTCAGCTGTTAGCGTGGATGAATTTCAGACCATCACACCATCACATAGCTCAGATTCCTCACTCTGACTTTTGACCACGGAAGTACCCGCCTACCACATAGAACCCTCCCTACAGCCCGTATCAGGCACCGTGGCCGATGGTGGAGCCAAATCATGCTCCTTATCAGCATAGAGGATTTATCAGCTGAGCAAATGCTTGCCATGTTCGTTGCCGCCTGCAAACGCTGCAGCTGATTTGCTCGTATAGAGATACCTTTGGTTTTCAGTTTATGATTCGCCTTGTTTTTTAATTAACAGACCTGTGTTCAGTGCCTGCATTCATTTTCCCATCATACTGATCTCTGATGGACTTTCCGTTAATTGAAGTTCATTGGGGGCTGCAGGGTGGCGCAGTTGGTAGCACTGTTGCCTCGCAGCAAGAAGGTTGTCGGTTTGCGTCCCGGTGGGGGCACCAGAGTCTTTCTGCGTGGAGTTTGCATGTTCTCCCCGTGCAGCGTGGGTTCTCTCCGGGTTCTCCGGCTTCCTCCCACACAGTCCAAAAACATGATGATGGATGGAAGTTTATTGGCAACTCTCAGTAGAGCGAAGAAATCTTGTGCTGGATATCTGCATCAGCTTAATCCACTTCTGTCGCAGTTTTTTTCTCTTTGCCACAGTCATCATTATACAATATAATGTCATCACTGGCAGCAGGCCTCTTAATGCTTTAATTTCTTTATATCTTTGCTGCATGCATCTATTATGTCATGTGCAATTTAGCAAGACAGAAACTAGTAGGCACAATAGTTCCTCATCTTGCATGCATTTACATATCTGCAGCACACTGAACATCAGTAACATTTGTCCTTATGTACTGTTTCTGCACATACTGTACCACCGCAGCTATGTTCTGCTGCTACAATGAGGAAATCTTGCAACAGTGTTTTTTGGTGTTTTTCTGTTTGGAGAGCTGCAACGAACAAGCTTTTCTCTATTGCTATTTAAATGACCAAATGTTAAATTTACAGTCAATAAAATGACAAAAATAACACTGAAAAGTACATAACAATCTACATTTACCATCTTTAAGTACTTTGTCTGGTCTGACAGTCCAAAACCAAAAGAGATTCAGTTTTACAGTCTACAAATGCTCTCTCTGGAGAAGCAGGAATCAACAATGTTGGGCATTTTTGCTGACAAATAGCACTTTTCTGGGAACTGGTTTCATCAATTAAAGTAAAAAATGATAGTGGATACCTTTTTTGTGAATGAGTTTCAAGTTGGACAGACTGCTTCTCTCCTTCTGATAGATGGCTTTAGCCAGAGATCCAGGGGTGGTCCAGGAGCAGAAAGACGCGGCCGACCAAAACTTCGACTACATGTTCAAGCTGCTGATTATCGGCAACAGCAGCGTGGGAAAGACCTCCTTCCTCTTCCGCTACGCAGATGACTCTTTCACTTCAGCGTTCGTCAGCACAGTGGGCATCGACTTTAAAGTGAAGACCATCTACAGGAACGAAAAGAGGGTCAAACTACAGATCTGGGTGAGATGGGAGGAAGCACTCAGACATTAATCAGTGAAATAAGATAAATCATCTGTAGACAGAAGGAAGATTAAAGTCTATAGGAAGCAGGAAAGTCATATAATTCCTCACTAACTCATACATTTGCATCTTACCACTGCATTCAAAGTGGGGCTATCTGCGATGTGTCTTGTCTTGTTTATTTGTTTGTTAGGCTGAGCTTCTCTGCTACATACTCTCCCAACAGCCACTAGTAACAATTGTGTTTTTAATATCAGGTTCTGAAGAGAGAATTAGAAAAAAAGAACCCACCCCTGAGCTCTGTTTCTTGTATTACCCTCTGCTGCATTCTTGACTTCTTTATTTTCTTACCTATTTACCTGCTGTTTGACCTCATTGAGCATTGTTTAGTCCCTTGGGGCACAATATCTTGCACACTATTATAACACTGCTTTCTGTTTGTGAAACAAACACATTCCAAAACACATTGGAATCCCATTTTTGTTTCTCTTTCAGCTAATGCAAAAGTCCTGTTATCATGGTTTTATTGTCCCATGCAAGTAGTTCTTCTCTGCAGCTGGAAGAAAGACTGATAAGGCCCTGAACACACCGCACAATTTTGTTGACTCGTGGAAGGATGTTTGTTCATTGCAGGAGCGTGCAACTAAGTTACACCAGTTGGACCAGATTTAATTGTAATTCTTTTAACTCACCTTGCTGAAACATTGTAAAATCATTGCACAATTGCAAGTTATCCTTTTGGAGTAATTCAGCCACACAAGCGACCCGGAAACTAATTCAGTTGAAGAATAATGATACAAAAAGCTCCACCTTGTCGGTCTACAGGATCAGTTTGTTTGGTTTGTTTGTTTGAAATTCTTCAAGTCTGAATATGTGTTTTTGAGGCTGTCATCTGCACACTGCAGTTCCAAGGTGGAAATACATAGCCGTGGCTTTGACAGCTTGTTTTCCTCATCATATGTCTGTTAGCATATAAACAGCACCATATTAACGCGTTAACAAGGTTAAAAACTTGATTTTCATCTGAGCCGGTTGTAAAGGCTAATGTACTCCTGTGTGTCTTTAGCAGTTAGCCTCAGGGCAGCTCCATTGGACCAAAGCCACATATCTGCACACTTTTACGAGCCACAAGCGTCATTAGAAGTGGTTAACCAAACAAATGTATTTACAACAAAGGTGTTGATATTTGCTAGTTTTTACTGTTTATTTCACTCTGTCCTTGTTCCTGAAAAATACAGGGTCTAGTTGGCCTACAGAAAGAGCTGTGATGCTCACATTACTGCAGCCTGACAAGCTGCTAATAATTTCTGGTGGAGATGCTCATCAAGCTTTTTCATTCCCCCTTACTAGATTAAAAATGTAATGGCATTTACCTATGGTTGAGGGTTGGGGTTTTTTTATGTTTTGTTTTTTGTTTTTTAAAAATGCATCTCTCACAAAAAGGCAGAATAGCAGAGTGAATGGAGCCTTTCAAAGCGTTGTTACACAACATAGACTGTTTGTCCTCATCTCCCTCTCCAGTTGCTCTCTTACGTGCTGCTGCCTGTTATGGATGTATACTAATTTCTCACACCTTGGAGTTAGTGACAGTTGATGTTTAACAACGTCCCGAGACAGCAGGGTTCATAAAAGATGCATGGCTTGGAGCTGCCGGAGCTGAATGTGCTTACTGCGCAGACTGACAACCAGGACAGATCTATTACTGAATGTTAGTGGAAGGCGAGGACTCACCCACAGTACTCCCGTTAGATGAAAGTAATACATCTTTTTTCATGGCTTTTCCGCTCTGCTTTACAGTGACACAGCAGGAAGGTGCCAAGTGTAATGATGTAACTGTAGTATAAAAAAATAACCATATTAAAATCGTGCAAAAAAAATAATAAAATAAATAAATAACCGTAAAATATTATTACAGATGCTTTAACAAGTAAGCAGCATTTTAATCTCCCAGCTGACCGACGTGAAGTTAATTTTTTTATTCAGCGTGCACGTACGGTAGGTGCGGTGGTTGTGAAAATGTGCTGCTGTTCCGCAAGGCAACCCATCACTTAGGCATTTGGGTTATTGGCTGCTGAGCAACTTGAATGAGTTTCATGGGAGCATTAAAACAAGCTCAATTCATTTAGTAAAACCATGAACAAAACTAAAGACAAGTCCTACATTTCATCTTCAGTGTACATTAATATTGTACATGACATCTGTTTGCACTACGTTTCAGGGGAGAACTTTTACTTTAACTTTAGTTACAGTAAGCAGTTAAGTCTTACGAGTCTTATTTCGTGCTGCAGCTTTACTGTATCCAGTGCAAGGTTGTTACGTACTAATTTATCCCCCCCCCCCAAAAAAAAAAAAAAAAAAANCCCAAAAAAAAAAAAAATAAATAAATAAAATAAAATAAAAAAACACAATCAGGCAGCAACATAAAGAAGAAATATAGCATCTGCAGAACTTTTTTTTTTTGTCCCTTAAAGTACAGCCAAGGGCAACGTATCCTGCTGTGTTTAAAGGATGTGGCAACATCAACATTTGATGGAAGAGATTGCTTGTGTTCCTGTTAGTTAATGATTCACCTTTTCTTCCAAATTAACCATTTGTTTGGTGATGTTAATTTTAGAGTTAAGTTGCTTTTGAAGTGCTTGAAATTAAACTTAACTTTGAGATCATGAAATTTGTACAGTAGGTGTAAAATACTGTAGTTGACAACTATGTGTTCTTAATTCACATGAGATTATTGTGGTTTAAGCAAAAGTAAGTCAAAAATACCCTAAATTTCACCAAAAAAAATGTGTTTTCAGGACACAGCAGGGCAGGAGCGCTACCGGACCATCACCACAGCATACTACAGAGGAGCCATGGGGTTCCTGCTCATGTATGATATCACAAGCCAGGAGTCGTTCTGCGCTGTTCAGGACTGGTAGGTGCATCTATAAAGGCAGCAGCATATTAATAAATCAGCAACAGTGTGTTGTGTAGCAGGAGAAGGCATTTGTAAAGGAGTGTTTTGATTTGTTGGTGTTTGACCTGATGACACCAAACGCAACATGAAGAAATTTTGCTATTGCAGCTGTACCAAGATATAAACAGAGAAAAATAGAATATATTTGTAGACACAGTAAACATTTTATCTAAAGGGAAATGTCCAGTCATGGTAAAATATTTACTGTAATCTAAATGTAAAAGTTTGAAAAACAACAGCATTGTTGATATACGTAATAACTAAATATAAATAACTAAAACAGAGCTACCCAATGTGAAGGTAGTGATACCCTTCTAAATCTATGCTGTCAAAAATAAAAGACTTGTGTTATCAGCAAAATGTATTTAAAGTATCAAAAATTCAAGTGTTTTTTTTATTGGACAGAAGTATTTATGTAAACATTGCATTATTAGAATACACAAATGCATGAACAAGTATTTTAACGTGACAGCTGGTTGGCATGAAATTTATTTCAGTATCTTTGTACACAGTAGTTTAATTTACGTTAATACGTCGTATTTTGTAAGTTGATCACATGTTTTTTTTGTGTAAAACTATATTCTGCAAAGCATTTACACAAATATGGAGTAAATATTGGCTCTTAGAATTGTGGGTTATTTGAAGAAAAATTATCAGCAAAGTGCAAGTAATAGAGCTCTAAAGCTTCACAATTTTTGAGTAAATGCTTTGTCAGCAGCACAGTAACTTTCCATCGCTGTCTTTAAGCAATGCCAAATTGTTAATAATATGCTTTTTCATTGTTGAAAATATATGTGCAACAATAAAATAACTTTTCTTTAGTATTACAAAGAGACAGAGGCTGTCTGTAGGTTGTGTGGCTGAGCGGCTGTGAAAATGTTGTGTTTTGCTGTTTCCCAGGGCAACCCAAATCAAGACTTACTCATGGGACAACGCTCAGGTGGTGCTGGTGGGCAACAAGCTGGACCTGGAGGATGACAGGCAGGTCCCGACCGCTGACGCCCAAAAATTGGCCACTGAGCTCGGTCAGTGACCACGCACACGTTTGTCACACAATCAGCAAGAACACACAAACTTTACTTTATGATTATTCACGACCTTTTCTCTCTGCACTCTCTCCTCAGGCTTCCAGTTCTTTGAGGCCAGCGCCAAAGACAATATCAACGTGAAGCAGGTCTTTGACAAGCTGGTGGACGTCATCTGTGAGAAGATGAACGAGACCGTCAACAGTGATGTCAGCATGGCAGCCAATCAGAAGGGAGATACCCTTAAGAACACAGCCAACAAAAGTCAGGGCAGCTGCGCATGCTGATAGATGATAAGAGAAATTCACAAGAAGGTTTCAAAGGGAACACACACACACACTTCCACAAATTACCTGAATAGCCAAAAATCTGTCATTATTATGTCACTGGAACACTAACATAAGTGCTTGGCTCCTTTTTTAAAATTGGTTTTCACTTGATTTTTTTTTCCTCAACTCGGTGGCATTTGGAGCACTTCCTCATTATTTCAATGTGGCTTGAGATGCCAAAGAGCTGCACTAAGCAGCTGTGCCTTTTTGCACAATACCTCTGCTACGCTTGTACAGTGTTGTGAATGAACACCTGTTGCAGGTGAGGATGTCAATGAAAGGCAGTTACCTCATGAGCACAGCGAGGGGATTCACTCTGATTTACTTGTGTCATGCTTCCCCCTTGTGGGTGTTACATGAAAATGCATCACTGTGACTCGTCCTCCGTGTGTATCCCGTTAATTATATATAGCCCCAAGTTACCTCACTTAATGTTCGGTACAAAGTCAAACATACCTGGAAGTTGAGGTCACACCTGAAGGTACTATGTCATTCCAGGTGTATGTGCGTCATTCACTCTTAGGAATTTCCTCATTCCGTTTAATTTATTTTTCTTTTCTTCTTGTACATTTAATGATTATTGTTAGTTCAATATTTCATTTTTCAGATTTATTGTGTCCGTGTTGAAGTTGTGATTAAAAGATATGAATCTATGTATCACGTCTGTTGGTCTTCATTTGCATCAAGTCATTTTGCGTTATTTTTTATTTTTATTTTTTAATACAGCAAAGTGAACAATAAAAGTTCCCCACAAGTTCCCATGCAGTGTTGACGCCAGTAATTAATCACGATTAATTGATCAAATCGTAAATGGTATCTGTACTGTCTTTTTTCCATTTATTAGAAAATACAACATTCATTAGGTTTGTTAGTTGATTATTTAGTACTTTAGAATGGCTGCTCTTTTTAAAATGCTCCTCAGTTTCCAGTTTTAAAAAATGAACATAATGATCAATAGTTTCTTTGACTGTAACTTGGCTATAAAGTTCTTGGTCATAAAAGTTTGTTTTTTTTGGATGGACTTTGCTCACCTGGAAAAAGTTTCTCACTGCAGTAATAAAGTCAGTGACGTGTGGGTTATGAACTCCTGTTTTCCCTATCTCTCTCTCTCTCTCTCTCTCTCTCTCTCTCTCTGTGTGTGTGTGTGAGACCTGTGAGAAGATAAAGGGGCACTGAAAAGCCTCGGTGAGCAGACACTCCTGATTGATCAGACCTCAGAAGACACACACACTTCACTGCATTTACAGGTATGAGCTTCACGCTTTTTCACACTTTTTCAAACGTTTTAATTCAAATATATCCAACTATCACACTCAACTATTCATCTGTTAGTCTTCATCTAAACTCACATTAAAACATGTAGTTTTGCCGGAATTCTTCATGAATTCTTTCACAAATTACAGTAAAAAAATTATAAACAAAAAATCAAAATAATTGAAATTTTAGAAGTTCGAAAGTTAACATTTTAGTTTCATGATGTCCACTTCTCGGTGATATCTGAGTATTATCATTTTGTGTATTTAGTATTTAATAAACATTTGTCTTAAATAAAATGGTTTAACTTGCAACACACTGTTTTCAAAATGGCAACAGACTGAATACACCAAGTATTGACCAATTCTGTTCTCCTTAAGTATACATATATATATATATATATATATATATATATATATATATTTTTTTTTTTTTTTTTTTTTTTTTTTTAAACAAAAAACAAAATCTTTAAATTGGGTCTTTTATCAAAAGTAAAAAAAAAACAAAGAAAAAAAAAACTTGATGTAGAAAGTGTATAAAAATAAATAAATAAATACATTTTTTAAATTTTTACATTTATTTTGAGGTTGCATCATATCCTGTTTTTTGACCTGCTGTGCATTGGCCTACTTTGAATTTATTCAGAAGAACAACATGTGTGTTTTTTTTTTTATTGGTGTCATAAGAGCTTTTTATCGCAGTATGGAAAAAAGGTAGCAGATGTCTCCCTGATTACAATATCGTTGAAGCTGCAATGAGGAAGTAAAATGCTCCAAGAACCATAAAACTGAGCTCATTCCTTTGATTCCGAGAACAGAAGCAAAGTCGAGTAGAATCCAGGACAAGGTAAAGGTTAAGTGTGCAATTGTTTTTATGGTTCTTCTGTGGAACATGCAATGGAAACCAGTAAATTGGTAAGACAATCACTAACTGATTAGAGGACATTTGAAAAGCTAGAACCAAGTGATGAAAACATGTTAATGACACTTTTTAACCTGTATTTCATACATTTTCTAACATACTGCATGTTCAAAGAAACTCCTTTATTCTCTGCTGATGTAGATAGAAGTTATAATTCTGAATAGAGACAGTAAAACAGCACAATAATTATTATTATTATTATTATTTTTTTTTTTTACAATGATGAATGCAAAGTCCAAAGCAGGAAGAAGTGAGTTTTTCCTTTTGTACCAGATACAGACTTACATGTGAGACAGATAAATCATCAAACATATCACATGACTCAACTGCACACTTGAGGATCCTTAAAATTACCTGCAGGAAAAGCAGTTTAAAAGTATGGATGAACAAGCAGGTTTTGTGATACTTCAGCCGAAACCTTGTATCACGTGATTGCATATTTAAATAAGATTAGGACCCCCTTCTCTTTCCCTGCCAGCAACTGTGGTTAATGTATAACCAAAGCAAAAGCAGTTTGACCTGTGTCAGTGCTCGTTTGAGTTGTCAGTGATGCCACTGATCTTCCTGTGAGTGAGATCATGCAAAGTTGTCTACCAAAACTAAACAATAAAAAGGGAAGTGTGGGCAGTTATATGATACACTCAGTTAGTTTTCAGCTCAACTGACAAATTTCTTTGTTGTCTTTTCTTCAACAGTGTAAAAGAAAAAATCAGCCAAGATGTGTTGCTCCGGCTTTCTCAAGGTTATGATGTTCATCTTCAATGGCGGCATCTTTGTAAGTTGGCTGTGCATCTCGTGAAAAAACAAACCACACAGACAATAATCTCCTTTGTAGATTATTGGCTTTACATGTGTGCTTTCTATATTTAGTGATGGATGGTTTAAAGGAAGAGTTTTGGGTAACATGCTTATTTGCTAGTGGGGCACATTGTTCTGCAGGGGGAGGCTACTAGAGAGCATGGTTTCCATGGAGGGGTGTGCTTGGCGTGCAATGGGTTTATGTGGGTGGTCAAAGTAACATCCACATGAACGACAGCATCCGAGGTTTCCCAGCAGAACATTGCAGTGTAACAAGATGATTAGCATTATTCACTTCACCTGTCAGTGGTTTTATTGTTGTGGCTAATGGGTGTAAAGGCCATTGAATACAAAGATGGAGCTCAGAGATGTTTAGCTTTGCATACACTTGGGAAACTTGGGGAAAACAGTTAATCTGGCTCTGTACAAAAGTAACAACATTGGCCTGGCAGCACCTCAAAGGCGAACAAATCTTAGCTGACCTCACTAATGTATCACACTCACAATGACGATACAATACCTTGGCATCCACTACAGCAGCTACTATAGGAACTTGAAAACTTCATAATTTTAGCAAAGTAAAATGATTGGTTTATGAGCATTTCAAGAACTACAGCTCCCATGAATATCACTGAAGCATTGCGATTTCTCACACCATCAGAGTTTGGCTTAATCTATATTCATAAAATTTACAAACTCTCTTCCAAAGTTATTTTTCCAATTTTTTTCCCCCAATAAATTTCAAATCAGCGTTTACTCCTTTCAGCCCTTCTGTTATGACAGAAATGCATCAACCTCTCAAGGACTCACCTCTTTCATTGAACTGTGACGTTTAATTTTTGTGGGAAATGACTTCTTTCATTCCAGTTTTCTTTGTATCGCGCCAATTTACAACATACATCATCTCATTTTCTTTGGATTCCCGTTGAGCAAGCATTTGGTGACAGTGGGAAGGAACAAAAAATCCCCCCCCCTTACAGGGTAGGCCACAAAAAAATTAAAGAAAATAAATACAGCAGAACCAGGCTCAGAGAGGGCGGCCATCTGCCTCGACCGATTGGAGTGAAGGTGGAGATATCAGAATAGCAGATGGAGAACAGGCAAACATAGGAAAACAACAAATATGCTTTAAAAGGCTGCTAAGCTGCAGAAATATTGAGTGTGAGTGGTATCAATCTTCTCATCTAACACTTGAACACAAGAGAAGGCAAGAAATTGAATGAATATATTTCTCAAAATGTTCCTATGAGATGACTTGTTGTTGTAAATATGCGCTATATAAATAAAATTGAATTGAATTGAATTGAATTCCAACTCTTCCTTTAATAAAAGAGATTTTTCCTAAGTCATAGTCTCTCATCACAGGACTAGATCAAGCATAACTCGACTTGTTTTCCCTCGCAAGTCCTTTCATTTATTCCTGCTATGTCTGCATTCCGTCTATTTCTCTGATCACTGATAGCATCATCTCTCTACTATTTCCTTTCCTTCCTCACCCATCATGCAGTTGGCAGGTGCAGCCATTCTGGGTGTGGGAGTGTGGGTGAAGGTGGACAGCGAGTCTCTGCTGGGTTTACTGGAGAACTTGGAAGATGCTCCATCTGAGTTATCCCAGCTAGCCAACGTCAGCTACCTGCTCATCGCTGTGGGTGCTGTGCTGCTAGTCATTGGCTTCCTGGGCTGCTGTGGAGCTATTAGGGAGAGCAGGTGTCTGCTGCTGACGGTGAGCAATGTTTGGGTGAAAGTTGAAGAGAACAGAAAATTGAGTGAATGATGATAATAAGGCAATTACAACTGGAGAGGAGAGAGAGCTCTGTGTCAATTGGTGAAATGTTTGGTGTTTGTTTCACCAGAGAAGTCTGTAAGAGATGCTGTAGCTTTATATTTGAGCAGATATAAGCTTTTGTTCCCTCCAGTGTTTACATCTTTCACTTTGAGAGCTTTGCAGTCTAATTGTCCGTTCTCTCCCCCATCAGTTCTTCTGCATTGTGCTGATTATCTTCCTCATCGAAGTTGCAGGAGCTGTGGTGCTGTTCGTCTTCCAGAGCGTGGTAAGTGGCTCTGAAGAGCAAAAAGAGGTTCTTCTCTGCAACAAATTTCTAGTCAGAATTGGAAACTTTTAAAAAGCTGAAGGACTTTCTTCAAAAAGTCCAAAGCGTGATGATGATGAGCTGCTGTCTTCTTGTTCTTCTCAGGCTGCAGAGCTTCTAGACAGTGTGGAGACTGCAGTTAGGAAGAGCATTCGCACCAATTATGGACAGGATGAAAGTCTGACCTCTCTCTGGGATGCCACCATGGAGGAGGTACTGTATTTATTGATTGCATATCTGTATGGTCACAGAAAATCATTTGATAAAATTATTCAGGGAAAAAGCAGTGTGTCTTTGGGCATACACTTCATCCAGACAATTATTGGATTTTTTTTTGCATATTTATACATTCAAGATTGCAGCTGTCCTTCACTAACAAACAACAAAACTATTTTTACTACACGTCACATTATTGCACAGTGGTAGTGCTGATGAGAAGAATGTTTGGGTTTTAACGCTCAGTGGTTTTCTCCTAGTTTAAATGCTGCGGATACAGGAACTATACCGAATTTGATGGCTCCCCATTTAATAACGAAGGCCTGTACCCACTCACATGCTGCAATTCAACAGTCCCTGAGGGGCAATGCACTGAACACAACGCGCATCTTTCGGTATGAGAGCAACTCACTTCAACTCGGTCCACGTTAGCAACAAAACCTCTTTCTGTCCTCATCTAAGACCTGTTGTTTCTCTTGCAGGCTATCGATGGCTGCTTTGACAAGCTGCTGCAGCTGATAGAGGACAATGCATTGATCATTGCAGCTGTGGCTATTGGAATCGCTGCTCTTGAGGTACAGTGTTAAACAACCGGGTTCTTAATATTTTCTCAGCCTCAGGACAAGAAGAGCTGTGTGTATTTTGGCCACACAGTCACTGTGTTCAATCTGTCACTTTTTTAACTGTATTATTTATATTGTCAACTTCTCGATGCTCATACAGTATATACATTGTGATAATATATTGATTGGTTGTCATTATTACTTTCAGTAAGAGTTAGAATATCTCCTCATGTTTGGATATTTCAACATACCACTAATCCTGGAGTAAAATGTAAAACACTACAGATAAATGCATAGTGCAATCTTAATAATATAGTAGAAAAAGCAGAAGGAGGACTAATGATAATAATGACTATTTTGGAAAACACCTTTCTTTGAGTTTTACATCTGTGAAGCAAAACATTCAAATATAAATTAGATTTTGAATTTAGCATGCCAGTTTTATAATAAGAACATGAGTATATAATTTAGGAGCAAGAGGAAATGGTTTTAATGATTTTTTTTCTAAATAAATGCTTTGTAGTTTTGTCATTGTAATTGTACAATAATTTGTCCTGTTACCACAAAACAAAAAAGGAAATATTAGGGTAGTGGACTTTTATCATGTAATAAACTGTAAACTAAGGCTCTTATGGAGCGAGTTTTCCAAATGAATCACCTAATAAACAAGAAAAGAGTTAATTTATGACACAGTGCATGGCTTGCTCTGACATTTTTAATTCTACAGGATATATTCAAGAGGTTTTTATCAGCTTGTTCAGTCTGTAAGCTGTATCTCAGCTCCATTTACTGTATTTAGATGAAAAGTTGATGAACTCTTGTCATGTCTTTACAGATTGCTGCCATGGTGGTTTCAATGGTTCTCTACCATAAGGCCGGCAAAAAGTGATGTTTCAAATTTGGGATGATCTAACAACTTTGTAATTGTTGGTAAAATTTTACAAAAGCACGTTTATAAGTTTCAGAACAGACAGTTTAACAAAGGAATATTTAATGCTACACATGCACGGCTTGTCGAGCTTTAAAATCAAGGATGAAGAGGTCGTCAGTGGATCTAATGTGTTCTTAGTTGCACAACTGTATCCGTGCACATTTACGGCATATTGTGATTTATTTATGTTGGAGGAAGGGCTGTCCCCACCTGACATGCTGATGCATTTATCAAGTAATGTGAAATGAAGCATGTAATAATGTGATTATTGAATATGATGCATTTATTTTTGTATGTTTGATAATACTGAAAAAAAATAAATATCAGGTCTTGGCCTGTTGTAAAGTTACACATTGACTGTGGTATTATTTGGTAAAAGTATGTACAAGTTAGTTTACTAAACATACAACATGCAAATCTTTATCAAGATTAAAAGTGAAAGTAGGCCAAATGAAACCTAATGCCTAATATATGACCTACATAAAATTAGTTTAAGACTAAGCGAGGCAGGAACAAACAACTACACTGTCACATGTAAGATTTATCTATCTATCAATGCATTTATTGTCAGCAGACACTTAGATCATTCCAGAAAGAGCTGATAAGAAAAGTACTTTCCACTGATGCATGTCAAAGACAAACATGTCAACCTTAAAGAAACAAATGAATCACATCATAAAGCTGCTCAATTCAATTAAATTTTATTTGTATAGCACAGTTTACAACATATGTCATCACACAGCCCCTTTGGATGTGGGCCTTCAGTTTTACTGTTTTTACAAAGCAAGCATCTAGTTGGGGAACATAGTGAAACATTTAGCCGCTAAAGAGGGCGACGTTCTTCTCAAGAGACTAAAACTGAAATTAAGAGGAGAGTGAATTTAGGATCACAGTTACTTAGGTAACCAGAGGCATGACTCCAAATGAATGGTATTTCATGCTAGATTGATATTTTTGTTCTACGAACATTCTGAGACAGTTCTGCAAGGTTTAAGAAATGTTTTCAGCTGGAAGTTCTTTTTAGTTCCCCAAATGTTCTTCTTAAAAGCAGAATAAAGACTTTTCTCTAACAATGTTCCTAAAAAGTCAAATGTTGCATTGAAAACTTCATTCCTTTATTATCATATAACATTGTAGAAATGTTTTATGGAAAAATGTTCTATAATGTGTTACCCTGACAGCATCCCCCAAACATCCTCAGAACATTGCAGGCAAAATGGTCACACAGGGGGAGCTCGGAGTAGAGCTGCTGCTCCTCCACATCGAAAGGAGCCAGCTGAGGTGGCTCGGGCATCTGTTTCGGATGCCTCCTGGACCACCCTGTTCCGGGTGCGTCCCACCGGGAGGAGGCCTCGGGGAAGACCCAGGACACGTTGGAGAGACTATGTCTCTCGACTGGCCTGGGAACGCCTGGGGGTCCCCCCGGAAGAGCTGGAGGAGGTGTGTGCGGATCGGGAAGTCTGGGCGGCTCTGGAATTTTCCAAATAAAACATTCTGTCTTAATGTAACATTAGGAAAATTATTTGAAATGTGAAATTGTCTACCTTCTTTGAACATTTGATTAGAAAACAAACAACATTTGTACAGCAGGTGAAATTAATGTGGAACAACCTGACACTCACCATACACTTAAAACAACCTTGGAAGAGAAGCTTCACATACTTTGGTGAATATATTTATATATTCTTATTTGGCGTTTTACACTTGTATTTTGCACTACTGGAGATGTCTTTTAATTTCGTTGTACTTTTGTTATGGCCGGTGACCACTAGGTGAGTGAGAAAAAGCTGGACCCAGAACAAAAAGGGAACAGGGTTAGGAAATAACAAGGTTTATTAAAGGGAATCAGGGAGTGTGGGAAACCGGGGAGGCAGGTGAGGGAAACCGGGGCTGGTGCGCTGGTGCCGTGGTGAAGGGGGGTGTTCTCTCCGTGTAGTTGTCCGTGTTGTGCGTGTTCCCGTGTGGCGTCCTTCCCGTAATGGTGCACGTGTGGCAATCCTCCCGTCCGAGTGCGCAGGTGGTGGTTTCCCAATCCCGGTGCTCATGTGGTGTTTCTCTGGTGTGTTCTTCCCGTGTCGGTGCTCGTGTGAAGAATCTCCAGGCTCGTGGATCCGTGGGTGGCGAACCAAGTCAGAAGTGGTGGGCTGGAGTGGCTCGAAGCTGGGACCGGTGGGGGAGACGCTGGAGAGCTGGAAAATACAAACAATTACTCGAGAGCTCGAAAAGGGATAGCGAGTAGCACAAGTGCTGAGCTGGCGACCAACAACACCGCTGCAGAGAAGGCAATCATCTAGCACTGGAGTACAGAAAGACTGGTGGCTTTATCCAGCGCTTAATGAGGGTGATGAGCTGTAGCTGCGAAGGTGCCGACAAGAGCTCAAAAACACCACAACAACCTTATTAAGGAATGTCACCACAGCTTATGAGCAGCACTTTCAACACTTGTTTGAAACCTTGGACAAACAATCTGAATTTCTAAGGAACCAATTTGCAGCAAACCTCAATTCAGCATCATCACAGAGAAATATTAAAGGATATCGGGCACCCGGTAACCCAACCGGATAAGACGGCAACTCATGTATAGAGGGTATAGTCCCCGAGGCAGCAGCTGCATTTTGAGTCCAGCCAACAGCTCATTTGCTGCAGGTCTTTCCTCCACTCTTCTCCCCATGTTTCTCTGTCTCTCTACACTGTCCTGTCGAATAAAGGCAAAAAGCCCAACAAAATAATCTTGAAAAAAGAAATATTAAGAGGACATCAAAGACTTCATGACCCAAGTCATGCAATCAGTTGAGCGCCTGCATACTGATGTACAGAAACTCTCTCAAAGCATGGATTCAATGTCTCAGGAAGTGGTGACAATGAAACAAGTACTTAACATATCTGAACTTACAAGTGTCCCTGTCCAAAAAGAGTGATCAGTTGTAGGAGGCTCAGAGGCAGCGCTTCCAATCTACTGTAGTGGCAGATAAGGCAGGTGTGGTACAATCAACTCAGGATTCTCCTGTCCTTCCAAAGGGAGGGGATGGTGGATGGGGAAATGACCTGTCAAGCTGCCGTTTCCATCATTTGGGAAAATTGAGGATGAGCCAGATTCCCTCTTATACTTCAAGAAATGTAATAATTTTGTAGCTTTAAATCAACTTACTGAAGAGGAATTGATGGCTACCCTGAGGAATGTCCTTCATGAAATATCAAGAGACTGGTGGGATGGGGTTCGTTTGAACACACATACCTGGTAAGACTTTCAGGAAATTTTCTGTGCTGCCTATTTATCTGAGGACGGAGAGGATGAACTGTCAGAGAGAGTAAGGACAAGGGTACAAGGTGATGGCGAAAGCATCCGCAACTTTGCCTATATGAGGTGTGTTAGAAAAGTTCCAGGACTGGTGTCATAAAAGATAGATTTTAAACCCAAACTACAAATACAAGTTTTCCCTTCAGACGATCAACCAGCATGTCAACGTTTGCTTCGTTCGGTGCACGAGAAGAGGCGAGAATTGTGGCAGGACAAGTCGTGGCTGCTTCACCAGAGCAAGTCAGTCTCAATATGACCAACAAAAAAAAAAAGAAACTGTTAAACAAAAGGAAAAAGAGAAAGTGGATGTGTTGGCTAACAATTCCCCACGACCAAACCCAAGTTGTTCACGACCTCTCTAAAATCTCTTGGCCAGGTTGTGACTGCCCAGTTCATGTTGATCCAGACAAGACTGAAGCTGTGTACTTTCTGGTACTCACCAACATGACGACCATACAGAGGCTCCTGGGCATGGCAGATCAGTATTATGACATGACCTCTGCCTTTGGCTCGACCTAGTGGAGCATTTTTGGTTGTTTGTGTTGAACATGCTGGTGTGTAGGGGGACAAGGTGCCATGAGTTGGCAATCAACCGATTGCTCCAGCTGCGGCGAGGCGTGGCTTGCCGATCACTCATCAGACATACACTTACTATATAAGACGCCAGCAAGCCACAAGTCGACGCCGGATCGTAGTAAAGCCAAAGTTCGTTCATGCTCGTTCGTATGCTCTGTTCGTTGTTTTGGTTCAGCTCTTAACTCTCCTTTCCTGTGCTCCAGTTTTCGCCACGCTCAATGCCTCTGAAGTCCACTTGTCATCCCCAACTCCTCTCCGTTGGATTCTTCTGGCTCAGCTCTTCATACCCTCCGTGTCCCTCCGTTGTAATCATCTGGTCCACCTCCGTGTCCTCCGGCTCCCCAACCCTTGCTTCCAGTTTGTCGTTTGTCAATCTCTTGTCTACTCAACTGGTAGTTCTAGTGTTTGATTAGTATTTTTGCAGTAAGTTTGTTTATAATTTGTAATCATAATTCGTCATCCTCTAGAGGACATTTTGGTAAGATTTCTGATAGTGTGCATTTGTTAGTGGTAGTTCAAATTGCTGCCTTGTCGGTTACTGGATTTCACTATTAGTGTTTGTTTGTGAATAAACATTCTCTTCTATTTTCACCTGTTTGGCGGTCGAGTTGTCTGTCTGCATTTGAGCCTTTGTGTGTAAATCGTGACATTGCGATCCAGCCATAATGAGCTCAGCAGACAATACGACCGATGCTGACCAAGCTGTTCGTAATTTAATGGAGAGCCATAGCTCTAGATTGACTCAACATAAAGAGTTTTTGAAGGCTCTTTCAGAAAGTAATAATGCTTTGTATAATCAAATGTCTGTGCTTACTAGTATATTTTCTGAGCTTGTTTCTCAGTTGGGTTCTTCCCCTAGTGGAGTGCAGGCTCCAGCTAGTGTTGCTAGTATAGCATCTAACCCGGTGCCAACAGTTAATACTGTCGCCACTCGAGAACCTTTTGTTCCAACTCCCGAACGATATTCTGGGGACTTGGGGACATGTAAAGCATTTTTGACACAAGTCTCGTTAGTTTTCAAGTTGCATCCTTTGTCTTACTCCTCTGAAAGATCCAAGATCGCTTATTTGATAAGTTTATTGAGTGGTCGAGCGAGAGATTGGGGAGCTTCAATGTGGGAGGGGCAATCTGAGTGCTGTAACTCATATCTGTTGTTTATCACAGAAATGAAGAAGGTGTTTGACCATCCGCTGCGTGGAAAAGAGGCAGCTAATCGTCTGGCTTCTCTAAAACAAGGAGGGAGAAGTGTGGCTGACTACTCAGTTGAGTTTCGGACTTTGGCTGCTGAAAGTGGATGGAATGACTTGGCGCTACAGAACGCTTTCTACAGAGGTCTAAACGACGCGCTAAAAGATGAGCTGGCTACGCAGGACGAGACAGCGAATTTGGATGATTTGATTGCCTTGTCCATTCGCATTGACAACCATCTCAGGGAGAGAAGACGAGAGTGAGGCTCGTCTGCTAGTT